GCCAGTTTACTCCAGATCAAGCAAGATGAAAAAATGAAGAGTGTACATGACATACTGTACATGTACACTAACAAGTGTGAAACAATATAGGATTCCAATTTGACAATTTTTTCCTTGTTCGTAGTATAATACACTATAAGTCAATCAATACAAATAAAACCTTATTCGCGAAATGTTTGTCTAAAACATCTTTTAAAAGTCAATAATAAAAGTGTGTGAATAAACAATTGAGACACCTGATTTAAATCAAATGTGAATACAAAACACTTAAACACTCACTTTTCCATAACCTTTTGAAAATTTAAAATATTATTTATTTTTAACTTCAGGGAAAATCTGAAAGTCAAAAGTATTTAACGTACATGTATTTCAGTATGCTGTTTAATGTTGGTGGTTACTGAAAGAAATGAGAAATTGGCGAAAACTAGCTAAATTTTGAGAAGTCTGAAAAGCACATTTCTACCTGCAAAACTAAGAAAATTGAAATAACAAAGATTTACAACTAAGAAATTAAAATTAAGAGCAAAATAATAGAGCTTAATAGCATTGAATATCAGGGATATAGTACTGTAGCAGGCAATATTCTGAACCATCTGTTCAAATGTAGTAGTTTTAGATATCAAATCATAATTGCACTTTTCTTTTGGTCTTGGCATCATGAGACCTTATACTATTTGTTTGCCTAGATAGATAATATACAACATGTACAACACAAGCATAATGTAGTCTATTCATTGTAACCACCAGTGAGAGCATTCCAGTATAGTGCTTTGACCTTAGATAGTAGATACCCAGCTGTACTTATGACTATAGAACTACTAGACTGTATGTTATGAAGCCAGAATCATTGACCCATGGCTTAAATCTGTTGGTCAAATAGTTTATTGTACCTAACTAATTAAAACAATAAACTACAATAGAAGTTACATAATATTATAATGCGTTAATTACTGTAGATTGGGTTAATTTGGCGCCCGCTTTAATTTGGCGAATTTGGCGAAATTGAAAAATTCGCCAATATAAATCTTCGCCAAAATTTAGAATGAATCCCCGGGAATTATCTAGGGTATTTCGTCCAGTGTATTCAGGTCACTTCCGGTTAAGTTTTTTCCAAAAATATGAAAAAACGTCTCTCATAAATTGGCTTAGAACTGGTCAGTCACTCATTAATACTCAGGGAAAAGGTGATGTATAGTAGCAGCATCGATCGAGGTGGAAAATGTAAAGGATGATCTCACAAAAATGTACAAACGTGGTGAATATCGCCAGTGGTCCTCACATTTTGAGGACTTTTAAAAAATGAACATAGCCAAACATGCCCATTTACATAGTAATTCGCTAACAGCGCGCAAGTATAACATTGTATTACTTTTTTTTGCATATCCGCCAAATTAAATAGCCGCCAATATGCCAAAAATGGCAAAATCGCCAAATTAAGTAGCGCCAAATTAACCCAATCTACAGTAATAGAAGTTACGTTATAATACAATAGAAAATACATAACAGTACATTGCATTAAAGTAGTTATCCCATCGAACGAATCCATCGAACGAAGTTCGGAGGGATATAGGGAACGCCTCCGTCCGTCCGTCCGTCCGTCCGTACGTACGTCCGTCCGTACGTACGTCCGTCCGTACGTACGTCCGTCCGTACATACGTCCGTCCGTCCGTCTGTCCGTCCGTCCGGGCGATAACTCAAATACCGTTGGCCCGATTTTGTTCATATTTTGTACACATATACCCTATGGGGGTAGAAGTTCTGCTCGAAAGCCGATTTTCAAAATGGCCGCTCAATTCAAAATGGCGGCCATTTTAGTGCCGATTTTACAGTAATTTAGGTGCAATATGTAAAACTGTAATAGCAATATGTTTTAAATGTAAAAAAATTATGAAGGACATTAATAAAGCTATAAATGTAGACATTAAAGAAGCACATGGCAGCCATCTTGAAAAATGGCGGCCTTTATTCGTTATTTTACGATTTTTGCTATAACTCGAAAAGTAGTGGAGCGATTTTGTTCATATTTGGTATGTGAATACTATAAGCATTGCACACTGCCTAAAGACACTTTTGGTAGAAGGCGGCCATTTTTCAAAATGGCCGCCATTTTAACGTATATTACTATAACTCGAAAAGTAGTGGAGCGATTTTGTTCATATTTGGTATGTGAATACTATAAGCATGGCACACCGTCCTATGACACTTTTGGTAGAATGCGGCCATTTTGAAAAAATTTTAACGTATTTTACTATAACTCGAAAAGTAGTGAAGCGATTTTGTTCATATTTGGTATGTTTCATATTTCATATGTGAATACTATAAGCATGGCACACTGTCTAATGACACTTTGGGTAGTAGGTGGCCATTTTGAAAAATGGTCACCATTTTTATGTATTTTACTATAACTTGAAAAGTAGTGAAGCGATTTGGTCATATTTGATATGTGAATACTCATGAGCCTTGCACACTGTCTCATGACACTTCAGATAGTAGGCAGCCATTTTATAAAAATGGCTGTCATTTTTACATTTTTTACTATAACTCGAAAAGTAGTGGAGCAATCTTGTTCATATTTGATATGTGAATACTTTAAGCATGGCACATTGTCTAATAAAACTTTGGGGAGTAGTCAGTCATTTTGAAAAATGGCTACCATTTTTATGTGTGTTATTTTACAAGTACATGTATGCGATTTTTCAAAGATTTTATAGGTGGCTACTTAAAAGCATATTATTTCTTCTGATGACAACTTGGCTAGTGAGCAACCATTTTGAAAATGGTAGCCTTTCTGGTGTGTTGTTTTATGATGTTTGCTATATATTTCGTTTGTAAAAATGCCAGCCATTTCTGTTCGATGGGATTCGCTACGCTTTGGCGTTGCCGTTGTTCTGGTTACATAATAGCATATAATATTATGACCTCCCAGTCCAGTACACCCTTATTCAATTAAGGGGAGGGTGGGAGGGAGCATTAGCTAAAAATAGTACATGTTAAGTGCTTGAACACTAGGTATAACGTTATACCTCATGCTGGGTCAAAGATGCCAAGTTCAGCATTAGGTATAACATTATACCTCACGCTGAGTCAGAGATGCTAAGTTCAACACTAGGTATAACGTTATACCTCACGCTGGATCAGAGATGCTAAGTTCAACATTAGGTATAACGTTATACCTCATGCTGAGTCCGAGATGCTATGTTCAACATTAGGTATAACGTTATACCTCACGTTAAATTAAAAATAAAATCTCAGCCATCTCACTCGTGTTTGAAATTCATCTATATTTTACTTTTCCCATTCCAAAAAATAATTCCCATTCTAAAAAATAGAGTGTTGCTGTATCAAAAAGTCATAATGGCCTGCAATTTGAACCATCTAATTAGACCGTATCAATAGAGTTGTGGTCAAATAAATTAATAATTATGTATTGTACTACATATTAAATATATGTATACTTTTTAGAGGTACCAAAGGTGTTCAACTCAGCTGGTTATACTGTATACAATTATTGACCTCTCCAGAGGTTTACTGTCAAAATTATATCCCGAGACTGTAAATTGAGACCGTAGGTCGAGGTTTACAGTCGAGGGATATAATTTTGACAGTAAACCGAATGGAGAGGTCTATAATTGTTTTGTTAGTCCGAAGAATATCTTAGATTTTTCTGACCCTTGAAGTTGACTTGAAGTTGGATCCAGACCCTCGAGACGTTCATGTTGTATTTCAAAAAATTATCTACATCTGCCACGGCAGTAAGTTCACTCAATGGAGTCAAATTACTCTCCTGGGCGAAGTCCACTAAAAGCTTTGTACAAAGTTTTAGATTTTTCTTCGTATTTTGACTGTCTTTACTCTCTAAGAGACTAATAATACAGTAAAACCTGCGAACAGGGAATGCTCTTGGGACCGAAGGAAAGTTTCCTTGTTCAGAGGTTTTCCCTACAGAGAGGGGCCGCACTTTCAGCAAACTCAAACTTGCCGAATAAGCATATTTGTATATATATTGATTGATTGTACAAATGCCGGCTCCATACTTGGTTACATTCTCCCCATGTTGATTTTAGCTGCTGCTAGCGTCTGATGATGTCTAGTTGATGTAATTGTTGATATGATATGTAGAGATATAGTGCTAAGAACTGAATTTCAAGTTTCATCAAACAAATTTTATATCATGATAATCTAGTAGTTGGATCAGTAAAAGATTTAAAGAGATTTGGCTCAACATGACCATGTACTTACAATCTGTTATCTCCATACAACAATTGTGTCAGTCCCTAGATTATCACAACTGATTTGATGCAATTAGGTTTTTGAAAGTAAGAATTAGTGTCATGATAATAAGTAACAAAAACAGATTAGTATTAGTTTTAAAATAAATCAGGGTAATTAACAGTGGGTGGGATGCTACATTATGTAAACAATTGCTCATCTTAATCTCAATCATATTAATCCAAGCTTTTTATACTCAGATATTGGCTTAAGACTTTCACACCTCTGAAAAATAATGGAATATACAGTGTCACCAATATTCCATATTCCTTGTTCACAGGTGAATTTTCATAATTTGCCCCAAAATAGTGTTCCTTGTTCCCTGTTCATAGGTTTTCCCTACAGAGAGGGTCCGTTAACATGTAAGTCAATGGAAAAATATTCGGTTCTTTTGAAAAGCATTCCTTGTTCATAGGTTTTCCCTACAGAGAGGTATTCCATCGGACAGGTTTTACTGTATCCTCATCTTCAACATTTTTGAAACGGCTAGTGCTAGCGGCGGCCATTTTATCGTCTGATAATGACGTCATTGTAGTGGAATGCTGGGAATATTATTCACCGGCAATGCATTGCGCGGTGTACAGTTAAAATTATTCACCGCTCGTTGACCAATCAAAATCGAGTATTTCAACTGAGGTACTAACAATATACACTGTATGTTTAGTTAGTTAAACATCTCCCAATACCCAGTAGTGCCTGCTCACAGATTGTGTCTTTTTAGCTTTTTTACCTGTTTTCCTCTCCGTGGAGACATATCCACGGCAGTATCTGCGTCTTGAGTTCCTGTGATAGGTACTGGATAGTCTGCATTCTTTTTCACGTTCATTATAATCAACAGCCAGACAACCAAATGATTGCTCTTGTTTGCATGCGTCCTTACAGGCTTGCAGGCTTGTCACATCCTTTACTATCTTGAGTGCACGATGGGGAGTAAAGCATCGTGATCTAATAGTGTCCATCCAGTCTGAAAACGTATTTGGTTAATTCAAAATTTTGAAAAAATTAGTCAATTTTGAAGCAAGTTGAAAAAGCTCTTTTAAACCTTTTTATTTGAACTTGAAAAGGTCATTGAAGGTCAAATATCAAATCTAAAGTCAGATTTAAACTTATGAGAACTTGTACATGATTTTGAAAAAAATGATCAATTTGGAGCAAGTTGACCTTTGTGGCCATTTTTGACTATGAGAAGGTCATTGAAGGTCAACTTTGAAATCTAAACTCAGATTTGAACTTCTGAGAACTTGTAGATGATTTTGAAAAAATGTGGTCAATTTTAAGCAAATTAGAAAAACACCCTTTTTGACCTTTTTTGATCTTGAGAAGGTTATTGAAGGTTAAATTTGAAATCTTAAGTCAGATTTGTATATGATTTGGAGAAAATATGGTCGTTTTAAAGCAAGTTCAAAAAGACCTTTTTTGACATTGAAAGTTAAGATACGCAAAACTTTATGACTAAGCTCCTTAAGAATGTTTTTCAACACTACATCAAAGTTAATACGCAACAAAACTTGTGTTCGGTAGTATTCTAATGATTAAATACCATCATTGTTTCCATAGAGACTTCTGATGCCTGCAATATCATCTGTGTGTAGATGGAAATTTGGGTTGTATCCGCTGTAATATGGAAACATTATTGCTCTTGTCACTTCACTATGTTCTAGGCCTAGGGCATGCCCTATCTCATGTACAGCTACCCATAGTAGATTCGTCCCTGCAACATATATATTTCTTTTCAGGGTAAAATCCTAAAAGGTAATAAGGTTCATTTATCTTAATATTGGTTTGATATGTGTTGGGATTATCATTTAAGAAAATAACCTTTCATCTTTATCTGTCATTGTCAGTGCAGGGATAAAGATTAAGTTTACATTATTTTTCAATCTTAAGGCTAATACAGCTAAAATACCAAAAATGTATACATATCTAAAATCAATGTTCATTAATTCCATTTTGTTTTTCACATGGATGAATGTTGATTTGCTTACCTCTTAATGTTTTATCAGTCCAGTCTTCATCTTCATCAAAATGTATACGGCCATCTCTTGGGAAAAAAGCGTGTGCTAGAACATTACCACGTCCATCAAAGGCTCCGTCATACTGAGAGTTACTATGTGCACCAGATGCAAATCTAATTTTTAAATCTGCATCTTCAGTATTTACTCGATTGAATCTTAGACTTGTCACATCGCTCCATATCTACAACAGAAAAAGATTTAAAAGCCAGGCCCATCAGATGGGGTGGGGGATGCACCCTCCTCAGAAATCTTGGAAAATCGACAGGGAAATAGTGTCATTACAGTGATTAGTTTTTTACTTTTATTTAGTGTATAATGATCGCTGTTATGCCTGATGTAGGACCTCTGGTCGATAAGGAACTTTTAATATGGCTACTCAATTCAAAATGGTTGTCATTTTTTGTAAACAATCTTGGATAAGTCAAATACTTGACCACATTTTCATCAAAAATTTAATCTTTAATAACTGACATATCAGTTGACAGAATTAGTTCAATTTTTATGGTGATACCTTAGACATATAGGACTCTGCCAAAGAAGGAATTTTCAAGATGGCTGCTGAATTTAACATGATCATAATTACCTATATATATGTACATATGTAGCATGCAATGTCAATGGTTTATCCCTTACCTTGAAGCTTTCTGCGAGGACCTGATCAACAACACTTCTTGGAAGATCTGGAGAACGATTAATAATCTGGTAGGAAAGTCTTTTCTGAATCCATTTTGTGGCTGAAACAATTATTAAAATTGAGATCAAAATGATGCTATACACATAGAAACAAGAAATACAAAAATTAAAAAATTTATATTTGGTTATGTATGATTATTCATTCTAAAGTATATTTGATTGTATTGAAAATAGACACTTTCACTGTTATTAACAACAAATGTTTTTTAAACATATAATACTCTTTAAGTTGTTAATTGGATGCTTTTTTGGTTGATTTTTCACCTTGAATATAAATAGAGGCTGAAACTCCTAGAACAGTTCTATTAACATGTTGTTGATGGATTTCAACATTTAAGTTTTGGTTGAAAGAAACAAGAGAAGGAATATCTGCATTTTGAGCATAGTACCAAATTGAAATGATGAAAAATACATTTATTTAAGGGCTGTCTTAAAGTCAGCTAAAACTTGTATATCTGGCAATGATTAAGAATACATATATTTACGGGCTGTCTTAAATTCAGCTAAAACTTGTATATCTGGCATCCCACATCGTGGTTTGTTCATCATTTCCATGCTTCTTTGGTCAACAACACCTGAAAAAATGTTAATCCAAATTAATGATAATATCTTAGTAAATGAACATAATAATACGCAATTCAAGTTTTTTTGTAAACTGGCCAGTCTGATTTGAAATCTGCATTTTTTTAAATTCTACAGTATGTATCATGACTTTGAAGAAATTTTTTTTATAGACCATGACTTCAACTTTTGCTATAGATCATGTACTTGAACAAACCTTCACTACAGATCATTTATTTTCAGCCTAAATGATAATTTATGCAATATTTACCTGTCATTGGAAGACCAGTGAAACGTTGAAACATCATGACTGAATCTCTCTGTGTCATTTCTGGCCCCATGTAGCCATTTTCCTCGAGATAACCCTGCAATGGAAATTCCTTTTTATATGCAGTGAGACCTCTGTATCTCTAACACCCTCAGTATTGACCAATATTGTTCCTTCTTGGTGTTCATGATAGAGAGGATCCATTAAATTGTCAGTCAATGGGACTTGGTTCTTTTAAAAAATATTTTATTGAAAGAGATGTTCCTTACAGAGAGGTATTCCAAAATACAGATTTTACTGTATAAGCATTGTGAGCCATATTTTAGAGAAACATTACAAACTAAAATATGATAATTGATTTGACTTCATGCAGTTCTGTTTAAGACATATACTCATCATTGCATCTCTATTTTTGCTTTACTTTAAAACATTTACTCACAATTTTATATATGCTATTGCTTTACTTTAAAACATATACTCATCATTACATCTCTATTATTGCTTTACTTTAAAACATTGCTCACCATTGCATCTCTATTATTGCTTTACTTTAAAACATTACTCACCATTGCATCTCTGCTATTGCTTTACTTTAAAACATTACTCACCATGGCATCTCTACTATTGCTTTACTTTAAAACATTGCTCACCATTGCATCTCTACTATTGCTTTACTTTAAAAAACATAACTCACCATAGCATCTCTACTATTGCTTTACTTTAAAACATTTACTGACCATTGTGTCTCTATTATTGCTTTACTTTAAAGGATTACTCACCATAGCATCTCTACTATTGCTTTACTTTAAAAAACATAACTCACCATTGCATCTCTATTATTGCTTTATTTTAAAAGATTACCATGACATCTCTATTATTGCTTTATGGCCTAGTCACATAGCCCGGCCGATGTCCGGCATCGGTAGAGCTCGGTGGATTTTTTTGGTGCCACCGAGCTCTCCTCATCGGAAGCAGAGCTCGGTGACGTGAACGGACTCCGTCCGGACATCTTCAGGCGACCGACCGAACACTGGCCGGTGACCGTACGGAGTCTGTCTCAAAATGGTAGTTTTTTTCTGCCGATGTGGCAGCAACTACCGGCTGGAGGTCGGCCGGACATCGGAAGGAATTTGGCCGGTACCCGAGCAGGTAACAGGACACCGTGCGATCGCCGGCCGGGTTGTTAACGGGCTTTGAACAGTGACCGGCCGATGATCTGTTCCACATCGGCCGGAGCTCGGTCGGAGCTCGGCCGCTGTCCGTTAAAAAACCTCATCCTCTGGTTGTCTCAGATGCACGGGACACCGGCCGATACTCGGCCGTGCACCGGCCGACGTGTTTTCCGATGTGGTTACGATGGGGCTGCGATGACATGATGAGGGAGCTCGGTGAGAGCCCGGTGAAATTTAACTCCGAAGTTAAAATTTCACCGTGCTACAACCGATGCGGTTTTAAGCAACAAACGCCACAGATGTCCGGCCGGTGTCCGGCCGGTGTTCGGCCGAGTTTGGTGAAAATTGCATCGCTGGCTCATCGTAACCTCATCGGCCGGGCTATGGGACTAGGCCATTACTTTCAAACATTACTCACCATTACATCTCTATTATTGCTTTACTTTAAAACATTACTCACCATGACGTCTCTATTATTGCTTACAGCAGCACCAATTAAGCCAATGCAGCTTAAAACCTGACAAAAGACAAGTCCCAACATATTCATCCTCAATTCAATCTTGTCTCTTTTCCTTTCCTGAGAAGTTGAATGTTTAGCTGACTCTGTTCGACCTTATATATTGTATCAGGTTTTACAAACAGGGTGCCAATACTGACATCCCAGGGTATTAAGGTCAGAATTGTGTTATTGTGACCCTATGTGGGCCTAAATGTTCCAGGGTCTAGCACTCTGATAGGATTTTGTTACCTAAATACTTGGAAGGTGTCAAGAGACCAGGGGATAAGCGGATGTATTATAAAACAGAGGGAACATCTCAAAATAATTGATTAAATAATTCATTGATTGATTTATGATAAAAATATGTATCATATGAATACTTATAAAAAATGGAAGTATGCATATATTATATTTCCATAGTTTGCCTGAAAATTTAAATTATGTAATGGAATCATATATCAGTTATCTTGAAGAAAATTGCTACACCTTGACAAGATTTAAAATTTATTTTGGCACCCTTGGCGTTGCAGTTGTCTCACAATTTTGTTATACTATTATTGTAAGCTCAACAAATTAGCTGCAGAACGCACATGATTCTCAAAATTGTTCCAAAAATTGATATTTCCTCCACCATGCTTTAGTAATTTTAAAATGAAGGTCATTGCAATTGTCTCACAAGTATTGTATCATTTTGTCATAAGCTCAAATAGCCACAAGGATGAGCTACATGTATAATAGTATCATGCATAATTTGAGAAGATTTTGATGTAGTAGTAAAGATCATTACAGTTGTCTCACAAGTATTGTATTATATTGTCATGAGCTCAAATAACTACAAAGATAAGCTAGAATCATGCATAAATTGTAAGAAGATTTTGATATTTCCTCCACCATGTTGTAGTGATTTTATAATGGTCATTGCAGTTGTCTCACAACTATCATTTTGTCTGTCATGAGCTCAAATAACTACAAGGATAAGCTATAATAGAATCATGCATAAATTGTTAGAAGATTTTGATATTTCCTCCATCTGTAGTAATCTTACAATAATAAATGAAGACCATCTTGTTTGACATCCAGTGCTGCACTTGACTCAAGTTTCATAATGACGTACTGTGCACATCCACTTCACAGAAAGAAGGAAGTAAAATTATGAGAAGAACATAGTGCATTTTAAAAACAAGGCCTTGTAGCTATTGTTGTTTCTTGGAATCCCTAGAACTGAATTTGTATCAAAATTGCAAGCAAATGAGCAATTGTAGAGAGAAGCAGAAGAAGAGAGAGGCCTCAATTTTTTATTTGGCAACTAATATGGTATGTTACTACATGTATATCATGGGCATCTTGTGAGTCAAAATTTATTACACGTAATTAATACATTGGAAAATATTGAAGTGTTTGGACCCAGATGGGCTGAGCTTAACATCATAAGTGCAGTGACCTCTAATGCTACAAAAATAACCGGAGTTGTAATTTTCAGCAGAAATGAGATTTGGTTTTATATTTGATTCTCTTACCAAGAGATTTTTAAACAAAGTTTACATTAAATTGAAAGATTGATTGTAAAATGTTTTATATATGTATAGCACCCTTTTGAGGTGTGCCACCGTTATAAAGGTGAATAAAATAATAATAATAATAATAATAGCCCCATTTGAAAATAGTATATACATTTGCTGATCATGTTTTGACTGAATGAATTCAATTGATCTGGCCTGGCCGTGAGCCAACCCACTCCATGCATGAACGCTTACAATCAGTATACCTATTAAAACCTATTTATAGGATAAATATTCAGTAATTAATCGTACTTAAGATACTTGAGTTACTATTATGTTAGATGAAAATGTGTGAATATTACAACTTCATTTTGAGTAAAAAAAGATTAGAGAGCAGAAAAGTCATATATTTTGCTGGGCAATGATTACTGCTTCACACTTCAGGCCTGAAATACTGATTTAATAGATAGTTGTATTGATGAATGGATGAAATGTAATAAATGAAAGATATTTTAAGAAGGCTTAAACCATTTGTTTCAAAAGAAGCTCTCATCACAATTTATGATAATACATTCATATTACCAGAATTAAATTAAACTCAATAGAGTATTTTTCATATTGCTTTGAAATCTCGTTTAAGTCTCATTTTAATGAGATTATAGACCAATATTTTCTTCTATTTGATGGTAAGTGACTCTTGTAATATGTCTCCATGTATTCTGGCCCTACCAACACTCATGCTGCCATCTATTTTTTCTATTTATATAGAAAATGGTCGATTGTCTGGGGAGAATGTTCCAATAAAATGTATTTGACCATAGACACTTCAAAAGATGGCAGTGCGAATAATAGTTATGCTAATTTCGATGTTTCAAGTTTTCTACTATTTGAATCTTTAAAATGGACTCCAATTCAGGAAATGATTAAATACAGGAAATCAACTTTAATGTACCAGGCCATTTCAGGCATCTCACCTCTTGACTGCTTCTGGTTAAACTGTTTTCTTTTAACCCATTTTAACTGTATATATACCTGATCTTAACCCCTTTTAAAATGCACTTGGAGAGGCCTAACCTCCAAAACTTAGTGTGATGTCCAAAAGTTAAGGACCTTACTAAGGAATATGATAGATGTAGATGAATTCAAGATCCCAACTTATTCAACCAAATATAATAATATTCTTGAACATTCTGTTATTGCAGATAATACAAATGGACACTCACTCATACCCAGTAACTGGATGAATATTTTAATATGCTGATCTAACACAGATTCCAAAAGGCATGGCAGAAGATTCCTGTGATTTTTGATGTTTCGACACTGTTATATGACGTGATCACGTGACCTCCTTAGGCATACATAGATAAGGTAGGCTTTTACTTGAGGTACTTATGTTATGTTATGTTATGTGTGTTAAGGAATACAGATACAATATGGAGTTTAAGCTTGCATATAAAATTGAAACACCAACCTATATATACATGTAATCAATAAATATTTTCCATTAATGTTTAGACTCCCTAATATCATGTGAAGATATCCAAAAGGGCATATACTGTAGTTCACTGTGTATAAAAAATATTTACAAGCAAACATCATGCTATACTCTATATATATAAGGGTTATGTACTGGGAGGTTTTGGATACAGGGTTTATCCCAAGGGAAATATGTGTATCTCCCGAGGGACCGAAGGGACCGAGGGAGATACACATATTTCCCTGTACATAACAGATGTATTTCATACCTTCTGAGGTTTCAGGTACATCATACCTTATAAAGTTCCAAAATTCCAAAACATACTTAAGGTACGGCTTTCTTAGTTGATTGCGAGATTTTCCAAAATTTTGAAAAAAAATTTAAGAAATATTGAAAAAATGTGAAAAAAAATTGAAAAAAATTTTGAAAAAAATGTGAAAAGAAAATTTTGAAAAAAAAAATTTGGAAAAATTTTGAAAAAAAAATTTGGAAAAATTTTGAAAAAAATGAGAAAATTTTTTTAATTTTTTTTTAAAAAATGTGAATTTTTTTTCAGGAGCGGGACCGGGATGGATACAGGCTGTATCCATCCCGCCCCGCTCCTCGGTGATAGATCCCTAGATACAGTATATATTCCCGCTCGTTATTTACCTAAAACCTTAGTAGGTATGGAATACATAGGGGTTATGCACTGGGAGGTTTTGGATACAGGGAATATCCCGAGGGATATACAATATATCTTCCCGAGGGACTGAAGGGACCGAGGGAAGATGTATTGTATATCCCAAGGGATATTCCCTGTATCCAAACCGACCGTGCATAACTGGTGTATCTCATACTTGAGTGGGTTTAGAGTAGATATAACCCTTTCCACCTTTTTCAAATGACAAGATATTTATATTTAACATTTTCGTAATATTCTTTTTGTTCAATACAATGAAATTGTAACATTTAAACTTAAAAAAATTAAATTTTAAAATTAAAAAATTAAAACTTTTGATATTTAAACTTTTTTAAACTTTTGAAAAATTCCCGGGAGCGGGATGGATATATTATATCTGCCCGCATTTGGCCTGGAGCGGGACATATACAATATATCCTGCCCGCTCCTCAGATACAATATATATTCCCGGGTGATATCTACCCCAAACCCACTCAAGTATGAGATACATCATAATATGCAATATGAAATGTTTATGCAGTTTAGATTGCCCCATCCTAGTCTTCAATCCATGCATGCTAAATCATGTGTTTGTGACACCAAAGATTGTCTCCGGAAGAATTATTGAGAAGATGCTGCTATTTTAAATTATTTTTGAAGGTTAAATATGGTATTAAATTAAATATTCAAACACGACCATCCTCTAATTGAATTTCTCAACCAATCAGAATGCAGCATAGCCAATAATGACTGTTATCTATTTCTCCATACATGCACAACCGTTTATTCCTTAAATATTACAGGTTAATATTATTGAGAAGATGCAATTTAAGTAATTCCTTTTAGATAAAGTGGAAAACAATATTTCTCATGTTATTTTCCCATAGGGAAAACTCATGCCATCCATTGCTATTCCTTTAAAGGGGTTAACTTTGTGTCAAAATGCAACATATTGATGCAAGAAAAATTGAAAAAGCAGGGGTGGAAGGGGTTGAAAATCAGGACACTTTAGAAAAACATGTGGGTGAGTTGTTTGCATCTTCCCTCTCAAAGTCCGTCTCAAAGTCCAAATTATTTCATCATCTCTATGAGTGCTTTTCCTGGAGATAATGCATTGGCCGAACATATGCGGATATGTTTAAATCCTCAGAAAATACCCCTAATCCAACATATGAAATCTGTTGCGATACTTTCCCTCCTCCTTTTGCAATTGCAGAGGACCAGTTATGTCAATGATTTTAGACATCTATTTTCTCATCATAAACACATTACCCATCACAATAATATGTTTTCCTCAGGGTAAGGCCCCAAGTTTGATAAAATCATTTATCTATCTCTCAGAAATGGATTCGGACATATTTTCAAAAAAGATCTCGTTTTTCTCATTTTTACTGCATAGACTATACAACAAGATAAAAGAAAATCTTGATGCAGTACAGAGGAGAAAAAGAATGTCTCCTTTTGGAAAAAAATGACACTTTGAAAAGTGTGTTGAGATGGGGTCCAAAAATTAAGCAAATTTGACAAAATTTTGAAATACTGACACATATTTTTGATGTTGGTAAGCGTTGATAGATGGCAACAAGCATCTTGTGTTTTTGCTTTTTCTTAATAATGCTGAGTTGAACTGCCTGTGGAAATGAGTGTAGTATGTATAATAGACAAATAGTCAATTGTCCCTCAGAATGTTGATCCCTCATTCTTAGGAAAAATGGGCCTCAAAGCCCCAGAAGAAGGCAGTAATATTGAGGCAGTGCCACAGATATTGGCCAGATCGTTTTGTAGTAGGATCTCATAGGCTCAAAGAATAATTCACAAGATACGACACTAAATTGGAAACAGAAAATTTCAAAAAAATATGACCACCTTTCAAAAATGTTCCTTATACAAAATGATACCTGCTTCCCCATGACAGATTTTGCACTTAATTCATAGCTGAGATCTTCATCTTTCTATTTCTACTTGTTTGGTTTGAGTAAATAACCTATGGATGCAGTTATTTGACTTTTAATACGGCGAATATTTTTCAAGAGATCCGGACTCTTGTGTGTCCAAATATCATTGTTATACTGATGATGTCACATTTCTGGAACCATGGGAGCACCATTCAGATTTGGACAGACAAGAGTCCGATAAAATATCACTTTTTTGGCCTCTTATCAACGCAACATTGCTTGAACGGTCATTGGTGATAAAAAAGTTAAAGAATAACAAGATGCTTCGAATGAGGTATGATTTGTCTCATATTTTCAGAAATGGCTCCATAATCGTCATTTTAAAATTTGAAATTTTCTGAGGTGTCTCATCTTGAGGAATATTTATTGAGCTACTGATCCTGCTACAAAAGAATCTGGCCGGGACTATGGGCAGTGCCACAAAATGTCAATAACTCTTCAATTAGTTATGGAACTTTTAGTGCTAGAACTTCAACATCCAATCCAATTGAGTCAAGTTTTGAATAAATTTGAATTAATTGGTTCTTGATTTGAATCACTTTTGAATTCAGTCTACATGTATTATAAAATTGGTATTCTAGTGTTTCATGTGACATGGGATGATGTCATAAGTGCTTCATGTGACATGGAATGATGTCATAAGTGCTTCAACATATGTTATATTTATAAGGGAATATATCTTTAAGATACTTGTATTGATTTTTGATAATATACTTTGAAAGGATTACATTTGGGGAACTAAATGGCTAATTTTATTCTTTTGTTGGTGTAATTTGATTGGAGCATAATAATTTATTTCAGCATGCTGGCAATTAAGGATACTTTAAGAATATTTTTGTATTAAATCATGAATAAAACACTAATGAAAAAATTGTCATCTCAAAATAGTTTATGATTTTTGAAAAATACTGAGACTGGATTATAGTGACATGGACATGCCCCTGCTTGGATAAATACTCTTAAGTATTCTTGTCATTTAATTGGCAAGACTGATGTGATCTTAGGAAGTTATTCGATTAAGCTTTTGAAGTCACGGTTGGATTTATCACTCTTCTACTGAATGAGACTAACTTGACCTGCGATCAGATCATCCTAACCTGTTCAATTTTGCATTTAAGAACACTCACGATAAAGCAATCTGTTGCAAATATGTTGCATCACTTTGATGCGTATATATTTGTTGCTCCCATTATAGTTGAATCACTTTATCTATATGCCATTCAAACATCAACCAAAAGCAATCAAACAACCAGTGCAATTTTATATAAAAATGCATTGTATTTTAGGTGCACAATTTTCTATTGAATGCCAATGGTTTTTCAGATGAATAAGTTGTATGTGTAGTAAACCTATGATCTCTTGTTATGTAGGGATAGCCATGATAATCTTTTTGAAAATAACATGTCAGAGAAGCATCAAAATATAAGAGGTCACACATTTTGATAGCAGAACCACATGCAAGCTAAGATATAAAAATGTTTTGCATCTAAAATATGAAGCATAAATGAATAAACACAAGGAGCACACACGTCTCGAACTCGCAACCTCTTAATATTGAGTATCAGTGATCTCTTAGGATTTTATCTCAAGTGGGTGCAAAATTCTGACTCTCACAATTTAAACCAAATTTGGTCAAAATATGGCTAATTTTCATGAATTGTCTCATTTTCAAGTGGGTGCATATGGATTTACAGGTGAGTGCAAGCCTGTTTTTAAAATCTCAGGTGGGTGCTGCGCCCACTTGCTTTAATCCTTGGGAGATTACTTATTAGTATTATTTGAGTAGTTAAAATTTTATTAATTAAAAAATTTTGGCAAAATTATTCGAAAATTATAATTTTTAAATGATAATTTCTCAAAACAAAAAGCATTGATAAAGCAGCTATTGTAAACAAAGCATGAAGACAGTCAAACTTAGTCATCTAACTTTAATATGCACATTTGCTTAAAGGTAATATTTATTGCATTTATTCCAAAGCCAACAACACTACATTTGAGACATAACTGAGCATAGAGAGAATATTCGCACCCGTTTTAAATCTTTGAAGTGTAGAGATTGTTATTTTATTTGATATTTCTAACATGAAATGATATTAGCATGCCTAATGTTGCATAAATCTAACAAATTCAATTATCTAGCTCTTTTTCCCAATTTGGAATACCCTAAGGCCTGATTTCCTCTTCAAGTATATATCGCTTCTAACGATCAGATTTGGCAGATATTTGCATTGGACACTCAGCAAATCTGTCAATGGAAACATGGCTGAAAGGAATGTCATGGTATATCATGATAGATATTTGTAGACACTTTCAGTAGAACCTCTTTAGCTCTCTTTCATTATAATGGTCTGACCTTAAATGTGCTGTACTTCAGATATTGATGTTGAAACATCAACATAATCGAAATTAGAAATTTGTTATCTCAAATGACTGTATCAGATCACATACCTGACAGATATGCGAGAAAATATTTGAAATTCTAGATAAAACAAGTTTCAGCACTTCTATCTCCATAATGAAAGCATGTTTCATTACTCATCAAAGAAATTTTGGAGGGATATAAAGAACACCTCTATCACAAATAAATAACATTGTGAGTTTTGAAATAGGGAAGAAGTCCAGTACAGAAAAACCTGTCTAATTTGAACACCTCTTGGACTGACCAAAAGTGTTCAGATTAGCAGGTGTTCATATTTCAAGGTTTTATTCAACATGTCAGTCTATGGGAGATAACAAAATTGGGACATAGAAAAAGTGTTCACATTGAGAGATGTTCAGATTAGAGAGGTGTTCAGGTATACAGGTTTCACTGTAGAAACATATTTTGAAACACCATATTGAGATAGGTCTGCCCATCCATCCATATGTATGATTCTTAATCCTAACAGTATTTAAAAAAACTGAGGATTTGATTTGCATATTGATTTGTAGAAGTTCGGAATATGATTTCAAAATGCCTGGGTGTTATAGTAATAACCATCTGGTGGCTATTTAAATGTTGCCTCCTTTTTAGCTGACATTTTGAGCTATTGCAATCACTCACTTGTCCGTCTGTCTGTCAGTCCATCTGTCTGTCTGTCTGTCAACAATTGGCCAGTTTTAAAACCTCTGTCAATAGGATTCCTGTTTTAAGTTATTTTTGTTCAACATCAATATAGAAAACCCCCCTATGACTCCTGGTTCAAAAGCTCGCCTATTTTCAAAATGGCCACCATTTTTGTCTCGCGAAATTCACTTTCGGACCATTTGCTTTAAAGCCTGTTTCGATAGGATTGCCATTTTAAGTTATTGTGAATTTATTATTATTATTAAGTTATTTTTAAGTCTTGTGAAATTCACTTGTGGCCCATTTCCTAGCTTTACAAATAATTTCAGGTGTCCTGCATTGTAAAAAGCCATGTCACTCTAAAGAGTAGTTGTATGAAATAATTTTGTTACAAAAATTGGCAAAAATTACATCCATTTTTTTTTCGACCATTTTAGCCATCATTCACTTTTGAGCAACACCATGTGACCCCAGTACCCACGGCACTATTTATTTTTAGATATGGTAGGCTTTTTTGAACCAAAGTGCCATTTTACATGTGTTATCTTAAGAAATAAGAATTCCTGAATTCTTTTTTCGAAGAAAAAATCCCAGTATTAGTCAAATGTATTTAGGATTGATATCCAGCACTATTATATGAATTATAAAGTTATAGTGATTGATTCTTTATATCTCTAATATATATCAGATGTAATATTTGAATGCTCCATTGATATACCTGGTCTATCTATTATGATGATGAACCACGAAGGGCCCAATACTGCTCTTAGTCTAGGCCCTCCATAATAATTCAATGTATTAAATTTGCATGAATTCTACTTCCACATAAAAACTAAGCCTAAGCCTCTTTTTATCTCTGCCATGCTTTTAATGACACAGAAAGATATGAGCATCTTATTCTTTGGTGAGTTATATAACCATATGAGGACAGATAATGTTGGTAAACAAAATCCCTTTGGGTAAATATTTTGATTTTGAAGTTTATGTTTTCTACCATATGTTGCAAATACATAACAATGTAAAAATGATTACCTATTTCATTGATTATTAGTATTTATAATCATGAAAGTCAAATAAAAATGCTCATGTCATGGATCTCCCTTATAAGGTATAATCATTAGACCATAAAATGCATTTCAACAGAAAATGTTGACTAAGCTAAGTTTTACTTTAAGCCATTTCCTAGGTAAACAATGACAATAGATATTCATTGAAAATAATATTGAAATGATGAATATTTACAAGAGGTCACCGTGAACCCTCTGTTAAATGGCCCACCCCTTTCATTCAAAAACGAAAAAGGAAATACATTTTCAGTGATAAAATGTCATTTTATTTTTGCATCACCGTAAATGTCATCATATAGGTTCAAAAGGTTACTGTATTTCCTCATCTGTAGGCATTTCAAGGTTATTATTTAGTATTTACCTACTCATGATTGTAAATCTATTAGCTCAGACTAAATAAAATTCAAATATTTTCAAGACCACACTTATTAATGATAACAGTCTGGTGATTTGATCTGTGACTTCTCTCATGTATTCAAAACGGGACAAAGTCCAATTGAATCCAAGACAATTATAGGCCAGGACAGTATTTATAAACAAAACTGGAAGTGAAGCTATAATTTCATCATATCAGTACGAACCAGTTACTGGTTAAGTTTACATCATGTTTTGTGTATGGAAATCTAAAAGGTCCTTTGACCAGTTGGAGATTCCCTATCTGCCAAGAAATAACAAGTAAGTGAATGTATATATTATGTATCATAAAATATATAAACATTTATAATTATGATAAGCGTAAATCTTAATTTCTCAAATGACAATGGAAATAACGGATACATGTAATATGAAGTGAACAGATGTATTGTACGAATACATGTATACTTATTGTACTTTGTGCTGAACAGTTAATTATACTAGGCCTATTGATTTTTTTCAAGATCATCTTTCACGTCATGACAGCTTCTAATTTTGTATTTTAACAACATTGATTTAGAAACATCATTTTAAACTTGCTCTATAATCATAATACAACCTACAAACAATAAGTATTCTCATTTCTGGAAAAAGTGATCTCATATTTAAAAATATCAGATCTCATGTTTCAATTTTAATTTGTTTGAGATGAATCTATTTTTTGTCTTATCCATTTTAGTTTTTTACACTCTGATCTGACTTTCATAATTTTCATAATATTGCCTAATATTGGCAATCTAATCAGTCTTGTTCACAGACTCAAGAATATAATGGAGGAGTTTCATGAATTTGAGCCATTTATTGGGACTTTGCTTTATACTGTGGTGATTTATCAATAGGATGGGTACTCTGCCCTAAGGATGTTAAATGACAGTGATTATAATCTATGATTACAACCTGAGATCACCTGAGATCCTTCTCTGTGATGACAGAAAGACAACCTTTCTAATATTACAAATTTTATAATAATAGACTTTTTTTATGGCTTATGTTTAATAAGAAAATTTACAATCTATTTGTTTTGATGGCCATTTTTTTATAACTTCTCAATATGTTTCATATGGTGAAAAAATAACGTTCCAATGTTATTCTTTTAGATCGCACTGCAAAACAATTTCTACTTTTGTTTTACTTAACTTTCAGTTGTCTCGTATTGCTATAATTCCGCACCATAGTTATGGTCACTTAAACAAGAGATAAGATTAAAACAGCATTTTCAGGTGTTTACAAACTATGATGTCTTACATAGATGAACTTAGTTGATCTGATTAAATAATTAATTAAATAAACAAATATTCTTACAGAAATTCCAGGTAGTTTACATATCATATTGTTTTGTTTGGTATAATGTTTTTATATAGTATCTTATTATTTTGTAGTGTATTATTCTTATTATTTTGATTTCATTTAAGCCTACCCTCACATAACAACATTTGAAAATCTTAATTTGCCCTTCACGTGAATTTCAATTAAAATCAACTTTTTTTACTAATTTATTAATAAAATCCTAATTTATACCCTCCCTAATGAAATTGATGCATTCTTACATGAAATATATTGACAAATCTCTTAATCTATTTCTATACTTTACAGGGTAAGCAAAAAGGTATTAAAAAATAAAAAACATAGACATTTTGGCCCACCCTGTATATGTAATTGCAGAGTGGGAACCATTAAGGAAACTGTGGTTTAGAATGTGTATAATTGCTACAAGTATAGATAAAGAAATATTGAATCAGGAAGCAATTTGTATTTCCGCATAAACCAACGTCTTTAATTTTTCTAGCTACATTCATGGATATAAAAACCACGGAATATCTTTGTATCATTGGATAGTCTTTAGTATCATCTTAGTGTCATAAGTGCGGGAATATGAAATAAGATTTAATAAATTTTTGAATCCGACACTTTTATCTTAAGTTATTAAGTCCTTGTTAGAGTGCAGACTATTTATGGTAGCATTTCTTTTCAGAAAGGTTATCCCTGAATCTATATTTACACTCCAAATAACGTAAAAATATTTTAAACAATATTAAATCGCAGTAATATGTTAAATGTCATTTTAGATGTGTTAAAATGAAATGTTTTGGTTATAATGAGATAACTGCATGAGCTGATAAATGTTGACATGTTTATTTAATATCATATCTTTCTCAAACAAAATAAACATCAAAACACTTTCAGCAAGTAACAATTGAGACTCAGTTACTGCTCTTGACATTACAAAAGGATACAGCAAAACTGAATACAGTAAAACATGGAAGTGGAACAGTTCTAGAAGTGGAACACCTCTGTAAGTGGAACAAATTTCAGAGTCCCAAGACCAATTGACTTATGTTAAATGAACCTCTATAAGTGAAACACCTCACAAGTGGAACACTTTTTGGAGGTAACATAGGTGTTCCACTTAGACAGGTTTTACTGTATATTGAGTACTTCAGGATCTGAGGTCACGTACATTCTTGGCAAGTGTTCATTTCAATGGGCTTACATGATGACATGAGATCAATGAAGAGATCAATATAGTTTGACCATAAATAGATACTTTAGAACTACATTCTAGAATGAAAGAGTATTAAGGTACCCTGTTTTGCTATTTTCCATTCTCTCCCTATGACATTAACAAAATGTTGTGAGTATTTTTGGGAACATAGTTGGGGGGGACAAATATCCATTGCACACCTGCAAGCAAGGGGCAGTGATGAAAGTTTAGCTGTATTTTTCATGCAATTGATAAAATTTTGCCTATACATTATGACAAGTTGAAGTGCTTTACATACCTGAAGAACTGAACTCTGACCTTCTGAGTGGTCTCAGGCTGTCTTACCCAATCATGCAATCTATATTTGTGCATGACATCATTTGCAGACATTATGGGCAGGTTCAGTCCTTCAATGATATCATGTACATGTATATTCTATTTCATTTTATTTTATGAAAGGCTCTACACATGTGCAAGTCCTGCACCTTGCCTGTCTATCCTGCACCTGATTTCTTTGATCTTCAAAAAGTAGAATTAATCTATAAAACCCCACATTGCCCCCACCCCTCATTGAGTGTTAAAAGATGTCAGACTCTTTTGATCTTTGCTATACATGGACTTGACCTAGCACTTAGAGACTAGCAACTGAAGTTCCCAGTCTCAGCTACTTCACTTAACAATATGCAGCTCACTTACATCACTGATATCATATCAGTATTACTCCTTGGTATCTTTTATTGCACTAGAAATCACTTTCATTCAGATTATTAAGGAATCTAGAATTATGGAAAGTGTATATTAATATTCTAGGACTCCTATGCTGTGTGCTATCAAGGGTCATTTAGTGCTCTCAGGGAGAACTGTTGAATTCTGAAATTTTGGTCAGTATCAAATTAATAATTGATTCACCCAATAAATCATGTTTGCCCTTTGCTCACTTTTATATATGTTAGAGTCAAAACAATCTGTTTTGATTTGATTTGTGTATTGGATAATGTAAATCTAAAGGTTTTACTTCATTTTTAACAATAGATAGGGGAGAATCATTTGATAATGTGGTCGGAATGTTAATAAACCTGTATACACTAATGTTGTGATTCCATTAAAGATCTTTTAAAGATCTTTTTATGAGTGCAAATTGTGAAATAATAAAATTAAAAAATCAATCTTTTTTACAGCATGAATTTCAAAAAATGGTAATTTGTCGTTATTTACTGAGTCTCATTCACTATTTTCCCTGGACTTCTAATTAAACCAGAAAGGGAGTTGTCTAAAAAGGGCATTATGACCCTAGACATGATTTATTACCAAAATAGTGAAAATGCTTCAGTATGTATGTCGCAATGTGGAAGTAATATGTAGTTCTTTGATCTTATGTATTGGGTGGGAGCAATACCATTGCCATATAAATCACCACAAAAATGTATATATGTGAGAATGTCCATGTATTTGGTCTGCTTGTTTGTAATATAGGCCAAAGTTTGTGCTAGATGTCATGTAGTGTCTGACGGAAATGCAACATATCCTTTTTTAGTCACTGACTGGTAGTATGCTAGAGTAGATATGTCAGGTGGTTCCACATATCAAAACAATGACTAATGGGAAATATAAAAAGTGCTTAAGAAACATAGTTTGTATTTAATGGGTTACTACAAACAATCCCCAGAATCCCAGTTAATGAACTATTACAAGGAAATAGTGTCAAAAGACCAATGTTGCCCCACTGTCAATTTCTTGAAATCCATTATGATCATCCAAATTCAAAAACGCAAGACTGGTACGTTTCATTCATAAAAAGTCTTTAAAATATTTCAAATGTATATTCTGTCCCAGTATTAGGGCATAAAATACAATTAAAAATATACAAGAAATTCTAGTATTTATATTTATTTTATGAGCTATAAAAATTTATGGCAAAAACATAAAGGTGGTGTTAAAAACAATGACCAGGTTTAACATACACAGGTTTAAACAATGCATCTGACAAAACCTTTCCATTTATCTTCATTATTTGTCATATTTTATTTGGAGGCTGTGTGCAGGACTGTGATTAGATTAAGAAAATAAAAGTGGAAAAAGCTTTTAAGCAGACTATAAAATTAGGTGATCTTCCACATCCTGTCTCATATATATATATAACTTATTACAATGTTATGAAACCTACATGAACTTTCATTATTAAATATGCATTGTGTGCTACTGCCGTTTCCTTTGTGGACATTTATGAATGAATGATCTGTGATAAACATCTAAAATATCAAATAAATAACATCTAAAACAACTAAAATATATTTTTGATTCATGAACTGTTCACATTATGGATAACCTCTTCAATAATGTTGATTTCTAAAATTATATTTTATATTTTTTATATAATTTTGTTTTCTTTCATGGCATTGTAATCTGACATTAAGGTAGGTTTGTAAAGCTTTTGCAATGAGTGATATAGCCGAACTAAAAAAACTACTTTGAATGAGGAAAACCATTCACATTGCGCCTTGGATCTCCTGCTGATTCATATTCACCTGTTTCAGAACTTCATATACCCTAAATGTAATATTTCAAAGGTCACATGTTTGCTGCAATATATCCTGAGAAATTCTAAAATGATCCAAAGAAAATTTTTCTCATTTACAGCTTCTCTTCACAAAGAATCAGACACTTCAACTCATTTCCAATATATGTAAGATTTGTTCTCATTATTCTCTGCTAAATCATTCAGAAGGAAAGAACAAATTATTTCTGTATTTACAAGTACTGCCTGTCTACTTAGTGGGTC